TAATTATCTTGATGTACTTTTTGTTCTTTACATACTTGTATTATCTTGATATAAGTTTTTAATTATCTTGATGTACTTTTTGTTCTTTCCATACTTGTATTATCTTGATATAAGTTTTTATCTCGATGTACTTTGTTATCTCGTCCTCTTGTCAGAGGGTGGTGTGCCTCTGTACCATCGAGCAGTGGATGAGTGTTTAATGCTCTTAGCAAACACAGTGTTTAATGCACAGGCTCCTCTGCTCTGCTAAAGCTTCCTGCTCCGTCTGCTCCTTTGTCCTCGTGTTGTTAGACGCCTGCCATCTGCTCCATGTTATCATTACAGGCGGATTTCGATCCAAAGTAGCTGCTGCTCCCTTTCGCCCACACTCAGACCCAGGATCTGTCGGTGGACATGATTCACCAGGTTTGAATAAACTCACTCTGGGTTTATTTCACTGTTTATTTCTCACAGAGCTCAACTTTGCCTCATTCTTCACGTAACGGTGTACGGTTGCCTGGTGACGTCACCGTCCCAGCACAGAGTTCGGTTGTCTTTTCATCAGCAGCGTTAGCATTAGCATCAGCAGCCTGAGGAGAGAAATCAGCCGGGATGCTTTTCACTCTCAGCCCGGACTGCTGCTCCAAACTCCGGGTGAACTTTGCGCCCGGAACCCTCCGCCGCCTGTGAGGGTGTGGACCGGGCCATGCTCCGAGGAGCCGCGGGGTCGAAGAGAAGCCGACGATGAAAACGTGGACCCCGGAGCTGAGACTGGCGAGTGAGTGAGTCAACAAGCGTTAGCTCCGAGGCTAATGCTAGCTAACGCTGTTTTATTTCGCCCACAATGGAAAAGAATTCAGCCAAAGAAAGAACCGCAAGGAAAAGTGATGTTTTGAACCAGCAGCTTAGCTTCTCTGCTAACTTTTGACCACTTCACTGTAGTTCCTTGTTGCTGCTGCTCCTTTAATGTTGTTTTCTCATAAATTAGTTCTTACGCTTAGTTAGCTAACAACAGATGTGTTGTCATGGTGACGGCAGCAAAAGGGGGCAGGCACCACAAGATGGAGACAGATTCGTTGCTGCAGCCAAGTGTGTCTGTGAGCTCATCTCTCATGTGCTTCTCATTTTGTGTCCAATTCAGATCTGACTGCAGCAGGATGTCATCGTGTGGCAGTAAGTTCCCTCTGTTGAAGCACCTCTGCTCTCATTCACCTGTTTACTCTCAGGAAGTTGGATTAGAGACTAGTCTTTGAGTCCTCAGTAGAACTCATGCTACAAAAACCCCACGTCAAACACTTCCCACAATGCAATTTAATACCTAACTCACTCAGTAGAGCGCATGCCTCCACCGTGGCCCAGAGTTCTTCTCTTTAAATTCAATCACTCATTTGTCCTAAACTCAGCCTATTGGTGCGCACAACACACACACAACGGACCTTGTGTTGCGCAGTAGACCGGAGTGAATTGTGGGACAACCACAGCTCTGAGGACCTCATCAATGGAGTGTTATTGCACATCAACATTGGGCTCAGTTCACTGTGTGTTGGGATGTTTACCTTCATCAAGGAGGTTATGTTTTCATTAGCCTTCGTTTGTCTGTTATTTAGCAGGATTGTGCAAAAACTGCTGGACGGATTACCACAAACCTCTTATGAAAGCATGTGGTATATGTCAGAGAAGAATTCTTCACTTTTCTTCACTTTCTTTAACATTGCAAGACAGAGGTTTTTGTTTTTGACATTTTCACAGATTTCCCAGGGATGAAAATCTTTTTTTTTTAGGGACCTGATATCCATGACAAAAAAACGGATCTGTTACGATCTCTGTGTGTGTGTGTGTGTGTGTGTGTGTGTGTGTGTGTGTGTGTGTTACAGTTGAGCTCAGGACCAGGCGGGCCAGGCCACAGCGGCAGCAG